ACGAGCATGGCGTGCATGGCGGAGCTGAGGCTAGCTCAGCCTTTCGTTTTCCCTTTACAGTTAGTAGCTCATTGTGTATAAGTAGGAGAACTTAATACAGAAAACGCTGACACACGAGTTTCGTGCTTGGCACAAAAAATTCTTCTTGTGTTCACTCTGTTCTTGAGTTCACCGTGAGATTGAGAGCACGCCGGAGTGAGTCCGGCTGTCATTTGGTACCAGAGCCGAGATCACGCCGCCGGCGCCATGTCCGAGTCTCCGTCGAAGAAGAAGGAGGTTACTCCATCGCGTTCGCCGCGCCGCCGCCGAGGCCGCTCGCACACTCGCCGCTCTCACGCCCGCAGCGGATCGCGCGTCCTGGAGCGCATTGTGGAGCGTCCGTCCGCGAGCGTAGCGTGGCCGATGCTCACGCGATCCAACTACCCCGAGTGGGCGTTGGTCATGGAGGTCAACTTCCAGACGCTCCGAGTATGGGACGTCGTCGTCGACGCCATCGACGACGATCCTGACGAGGACGACTACCACGACGATCGGGTGGCCATGGCGGGCATCCTGCGGTCCGTACCGTAGGAACTCGAAACGCACTTCGCCGCCATCCGCGCCGCGGCGAAGAGCATGGGGCGCCATCAAGATCCTCCGGTCGGCGACGAAGTCTGTGGCGCGACGCCACGCCACCGCAGCAGCTCCGCCGCGACTTCGGCAACCTCGCCTTCAAGGATGGGGAAACCGTCAGCGACTTCGGCGTGCGGATCACCACTCTCGCCACGAACCTGCGCACCCTCGGCGACAACATCTCCGAATCCGAGGTAGTTAAGAAACTGCTGCAGGTAGTGCCGGAGAAGCTGTCCCAAGCCGCCGTCTCCATCGAGATGTTCTGCAACCTCCGCACCATCTCGATCGAGGACGTAATCGGGCGCCGGTGTTCGAGGACCGCAGCAAGCGAAGTCCGCCACGGACGCCATGGGGCTCTCTTCTCACCGAGGAAGACTGGAGGCGCGCCGCAAGGCTCGCCGAGACCAGATAGCTCCGGGCGCAGCGGCGCCGATGGCAAGGCCGTGGACGCGGGAAAGGAGAAGGCGGCTCCACCGCGCCGACGGGAAGCGGGCGAGCCCAACTCCGGCAAGGCAACGAGGGCCGACCAGGCAAGCGCGCTGCGACAAATCGCCATCGGGCCAAGGATTGCCGCAGCAAGCCCAAGGCGGAGGCCCATGTCGCGCGGTGAAGATGCCGAGCCTGCCTGGCGATGGCCCGCGCCATACCGTCCCCAATCCGGTGCCGATCCCCACGGCGCCGCCACCACTCCGCCACGGGCGCCGCCTCTTCGCGTCATGGAGGGCAAGGTCTTCGCCAAGCCGGATCATGCGACTCGAAAGCGACGACGGCGGGTGTGGTACCTCGGCAGGGAGCTACGAACCACATGTCCGGCAGCCGCAACGCCTTCATCGACATCGACACGGCGGTTCGCGGCTTCGCTCAAGTTTGGCGACGGGTCGGAGGTCGCCATCGAGGGCTCCGGCACCGCCCCTGCTCAAGGGAAGACCGGTGAGCACCTCCCGCCACGGGGTGTATTTCATCCCCGTGCTCACCACCAACATTGTGAGCCTCGGGCAGCCGGACGAGGGCGGCGGCTGCGGCGTCCACGCCAAGCACGGCGTCCTGCGCGTCATCGGCGACGAGAATGGACGCCTCGCCGTGCGCAGTGAAGCGCCGCGAACCGCCTCTACCGCTAAGCGTCAAGATTGCCCGGCCGCTCATTGCTCGCGCGTTCCACCAACGATCGCGTGGCTCGCATGAGCGGTACGGGCACTCGTGACTGGCGCCTTGCGCGCAAGCTGGAGCTGCGCGGATGGTCCATGGATCGCCGCATGTCGACCACGCCCACCAACTCTGCGCCGATCGCGCCACCACCAAGTCAAGCGGAGTCCGCTCTCCCAAGCAGAGGCAAGCGCGTCGTGAGGGATCGATCGATTTGGTCCATGCGGACTGTCGCGGCCCAATCACGCCGCCAACTCCGGCGATAAGCGGTATTTTGTGCTGTTCGTGGATGATCAAAGCGGTATATGGGTGGCCACGCTTGCCTTAAGAGCGACACGCTTGCGGCGATGAAGAAGTTCCAGCTCGAGTGGAGACGAGACGGGCGGCGATCGCGTTAACGTCAGATCGACAACGGAGGAGAATTCACCTCCGTGGAGTTCGAGCTGTATCGCGCCCGAAAGCACGGGTTGAACGGCAGCGCACCGCCGCCCGTATACACCCCAAAGAGAACGGCGTCGTGGAAAGGCGGAACCAGACGGTCGTGGACGATGGCGCTGCAGCTCTTTGAAGAGCCGCGCGTGCGTCGGCTGCTCGGGAGAAGCGGTACCACGGCTGTGTTCTCGCTCAACCGGCGCCTACGGCGGCGCTCGACGGCGCCACCCGCTTCGAGGCTCGGAAAGGCGGAGGCCCAATGTCTCCTTCTTCCGTACCTTCGTTGCGTCGCCGCTTACGTCAAGTCGACAAAGCCGCACAAGAAGCTCGACGATCGTGGCACGCCGCGGTCGTCTTCATCGGCTTCTGAACCCGGCGCCAAGGCATGGCGCTTCTACGACCCGCCGCGGTAGCTGCTGTGGTGTCCGAGGATGCTTGTTTTCAATGAGCGAGCACCACGAGCCGGAAGGACGAGGAGATGAACACGGAGGCCGAGTTCGTGGTGGAGGACAACATCGTGGAGCTGGACGCCGGGCACCATGACGCTGAAACCGGCGCGGCACTTCCGAGGTCCCGCCGACGCGTGTTCGCTCCAGAGCTCACCCGTGGCTCAAACTCCCGCGACGTCGCCCGCATCATCTGCGCGCCGTCCGTCCACACCAAGGCCGCCACCGATCGAGCTTTCCCAACCTGATTTCGTGTCCCTCCACCGAATCTTTGAGGAGTATCGGGGCCGCGACACGGACGACGGGAGCCGCTACACGCACCGTCGACAATGTCCTTGGCGCGGAAACTCCACCGGGCTACGCCACGCGCCAGGTTGCTGCTCAGCTCCACCTGCAGATTGAAGAAGAGCCGGCCACGTTCACTGAGGCCGAGAAGCACGAGCCCTGGCGCAACGCCATGAAGGAGGAGATGGACTCATCGAGTGCAACAAGACGTGGCGCTGGTGCCACCGTCATGGGTCATCGTCCGTCGGCCGGCCTAAAGTGGGTGTTCAAGGTGAAAAGGATGCTGCCGGTCTTTGTGGCAAAGTACAAGGCGCGTCTCGTGGCGAAAGGCTACGCCCAAAGAACCCGGCATCGACTTTGATGAGGTGTTCGCCGCCGTCGCCGCGTCAGATCGAATCGGTCGGTTGCTTGCTCGCTCGCACTTCACTGCCCGGTGAGGGGTGGCGGTGCACCACATGGACGTGAAGTCCGCGTTCTTGAACGGGAGCTGCGCGAGGAGGTGTACGCTCGCGCCTCCGGATTCGCATCAAGGGCAGGAAAGACAAGGTGCCGCTACTGGACAAAGGCGCTCTATGGTCTCCGCCAGCGCCGCGTGCTCGAATGCGCAGCTCGACGCGACGTGAAGGTGCTCGGCTTCACTCACAAAGACACCTCGGAGCATGCGGTCTATGCCCGGGGGGAGGCGCGCGTCGCTGCCGCTTTGGTGGGCGTACGTCCGACGACCTCATCATCATCACCGGGAACGACAACACCGAGATCGCTCGGTTCAAGCACGAGATGCGCTCCATGTTCAAGATGAGTGATCTTGGCCTCTTGTCCTTTTATTTGGGCATTGAGGTGCAGCAGGCAGAGGACGGCATCAAGCTCTCACAGGCGGCGTACGCGCGCAAGATCCTGGAGCGCGCGGGCATGGGTGGCTGCAACCCGTGCCATACTCCGATGGAGCCTCGCCTGAAGCTGTCGAAGGAGAGCACGGCGGCACCGGCACCGGTGGACGCCATCGAGTATCGAGGCATTGTCGGTCGTCTCCGGTACACGGTGCACACCGGACCCGACATCGCCACGCCACCGTCGGCTACATCAGCCGATTCATGGAGTGCCCAACCACCGAACACCTCAACGCCGCAGCCGGTGTTGCGCTTACGTCGCCGCACCATCGACCTTGGGTGTCACTACAGGCGCGCGGAGGCAAGTTGAAGCTTCTTTGGGATACAATGACGCGGACATGGGAGGCGATATCGACACAAGGAAGAGCACTACAGCGTCTTTCTTCTTTCTTGGTCCTCGCTCTTGTGTCCCGGCAATCCACGAAGCGTAAGGTTGTCGCCCTCTCCTCGTGCGGCGAAGCGAGTACATCGCGGGGACGACGGCGGCATGCCGTGGCACTGGTCAAGCGCAGCTCTTGGCTGACTCGACAAGCGAAAGCAGCCGCCGCCTTCTCCTCGAAGATGGACAGCCAATCGGCAATCGCCCTCGATGAAGAATCCTGTCTTTCACGATCGAAGCAAGCACATTGATGTTCGATTTCATTTTATTCGAGAGTGTGTTGTTGACGGAGAATGGACATTGAGCACGTCCGCGATCGAGGAGCAGCTTGTCGACATCTTGACAAAGCATTGGGCGCGTGATCGGTTCTGTGAACTTCGTGTGCAGCTTGGTGTCGTCAATGTCGGCAGAGAGAACATCAGGTTTAGGGGTGAAATGTGATCGAGTCCGATGTAAACCTGTGTTCCCGCTCTTTTTCTTTGTTTCAGCTAGAGTTGAGCTCGGCCTGGTTGTTCAGAACCTCCCGAGCACGTCCTTAGCTTCAGGGCCACGGCGTGCACGTTCGTTCACGCTCACGGGCGTTGTCTCCGCCGCAGCTTGCGTGGTGGGCTTGGTGCGTGGGATGGCACGCGACAGATCGGGCCATGACGAGCATGGCGCAGCATGGCGGAGCTGAGGCTAGCTCAGCCTTTCGTTTTCCCTTTACAGTTAGTAGCTCATTGTGTATAAGTAGGAGAACTTAATACAGAAAACGCTGACACACGAGTTTCGTGCTTGGCACAAAAAATTCTTCTTGTGTTCACTCTGTTCTTGAGTTCACCGTGAGATTGAGAGCACGCCGGAGTGAGTCCGGCTGTCAAGATTCCCGTTGCGGTGAGTGTAGGAATACATGTGAGCCTCTGGAGGCTCTCCACATGAGGAACAGCTGAGGTTCTGCGAAAAAGACACAATCATGAGTCGTGAGCATATTCTTCAAATTGAGTTGGCAAGGTTCTGTATCAGCCAAAAAGAATGGAAGCAAGAAGTCATTTGCTTGGAGGTATCGAATTCATATTCAGCTGACAGAAGTAGATCGGTAAACATAACTAGAATGATAACAATGTTACCTGCTTCTGCAAAATGTCTTGCAAATAGCGTCCTAAGGAAACATCAAAATTTCCATAGTATCTTATACGGGATAGACGGCTCTGCTCGCAGATAACCTGCTTTGTGAGACACTGGCTGGACAGCAAAATAAGTATGCTCTGAGACTCCAAGACATCATCCACCTCATCTATATCAGATGTCTTGTCTCCGTTATTGTAACCGGTGCTGTGTTTAATATTTTCCAATGACTGCTCATGTTTTTCACTAACCGAAGGGTCATCCAATGTCATTTGTTGATTGGTTTCAGAGGATGCTTGTTCCCGGGGATCCCTTAAATGATCCACATTCTCACCAGAACCAATTGGTACTCCAACGTTTGGGCTGACATGGATACCGTTACTTGCCATGCCTTCATTGTATTGATGCCTGTCTTCTATCTGATGATCAGTTGCCTCTTGAGAAGCAGTGACCGGTAAATAAATGTTATGATAATGGAATATATCAATGAATCTTCTCGGTGATTCTGGGACTGCTGATGCTAGTCCTTCAGAAGGGAGTGCTTGATTAGAATCATAATAGATTACTGAACCCTCTTGGAGCTCATTAGGGAAGTTCTTCTCGAGTGGATTTAGAGCATTGAAATTTGTAGAAGAAATGGTAACTGGCACCCCATCAGTAGATTCCTGTACTGATCCTAGTGGCGATGGTCCCGCCTTCCTAGTGACAGAAACTTCTTCTTTGGAAGAATTCTTATTGTTCAAGATTAGTCTCTGATCTTCGAAGAAGGACGTCTCAAGAACGAGGCGGTATGCTGCAAACACTGTGTAGTTCATGACTTGCTTGATTTTCTTCAGTTCTTCAGTATTTGCTCCCCTTAGCAATATCTGCATGACGAAAAGAATCACCATTGTCTATCATTCACAGTGAGCTGTTAATTTACTAATGATTTATAATAATTGCACAAAATTAGCACTTGGTGTTGTCAGCACAAAGAAGGGAAGAAGACATCTATTCCATCTATATACTTTCATACTTCTCGATGCAGCTACATCATTAATTCCTGCTAGTATCTCATTGTAGTATAGATTATAGTGGTTCATCAATTAGTCTTAATCTATATGCGTGTAAGCTAGGCCAGAATCATGCATGACAGTGCTTTATTTTAAAAGAAGCAAAAGTGTGTCAAATTATAAAGAAGAAAAACGCATCCTGCTGTCAAGGCAGGTATATATTCTGCTGTGAACATATACATAAAGCAGAGATTTCATTAGAAAGGTATGCCCATGCTCATGCATGGATCTTGTCTTAGTATAATGCAGCATCAGTGGTGGGCTGTGAAAGGTATGATCATGCATGAATCTTAGTATGATTAATTAGAAAGGAAGTAGCAGACCTACCGTGCATCCCAATGGCTTGTGAAAGCCTTCCAGGAACATTAATGTTTTAGATGGCCTCTTTCCAACTCCAGTGCTGCAGGTAAGGTTGTGCTCCTCCGTCACTTTTTCAATGTGGAAGTAGTCACACTGCTTCAGCTTTGGCTTGCTGAGAACCTCGGAAAACGAGAGTATGGGAGCGCCGGAACAGAGAGCAACCCTCTGCAGCCGGCTGAGCTTCATGTCAAGCACTAGAGTGACTCCTTCCTTGAGAAGAAGCTCCTGTATGTCGCGTGAAACCGTTTTCTCGACCATGATGACATTTGGGCGGCAAATCTCCATCATTTTGCTGACAGACTTGTCTAGATGCTCTTTCTCCTGCTCTATGGAACTGAATGATGAGAAGCCAACATGGGAATGGCCGAGGACTCCGCTAAGCAGCAGCAGCCTGGGATTGTGACACTTGGTGGGCATGTGCTTATGAGCCACATTCTTCCTGAAGACTAAGCCCTTGACGACCTCACTGCGTGCAGATGCAGTGGAAGACAAGACATGCATGCACATTATATATATTCTTGACATGTGGTGTTTAATAATAATAATAGATATAATCAGCGTATTATATACATACGTACCATTGGTGGGATGTACCAGATGCTAGGCACTTGACCTTGATGTAAGAGGACGGGTCCATTTGGTTGCCTACAGCAGTGCCAACATCAGGCTTGATCACAAGGGCAGCTTCCCAGGAGAGGGAGGTGACGATGTCAAGCCAGCAGCAGCTGTTGCTGTTGCTGGTGGTGTCAATGCCAATGCCAGCCGACTCTAGAAAGCGAGCGGCGAGCATCCTGAGCTGCCCGTTCATGGCTCTCAGCATGGCTTTCTGCCGTTTCTCCCTGTCGGCAGCAAGGGCGGCGTTGGTGGCGGACTGATCTGCATGGCACCACCTGATACTGCTGCTGCTGGTAGCATCATCGTCATCATCGGATCCGTCATCCTCATCTGGGCAGTAGGATGTACTACCTCCGGCTCGGGCATCGTAACAGGTGGGCTCATCATCATCATCATCGTCTTCCAATTCCATGCTGTCTGCAGCAGCTGCCTCATCCGGCGGTATCCAGATGGCGTCGTCGTCGTCGTCATCCGATTCAGTGGTAACGACGACAACGTTGGGCATGTGATTATTGTGAGCCCCATCGTCTCCAGATGGGCAGGCATGCAGCAGATGGTTTGGATTAGCACCACCAAGGGCAAGGGCATGGGCATCGTCCTCATCCCTATGAGTGCACGCAGGGAGGCAACAACTCTGATCTGCTGCATGAATTTGCACAAGCTAAGAGAGTACTGGGTCGGGGGCAGTACCTTGTGTGCAGCAGAATCATGGTAATAATGGAGCTCCAAAGAACGGCAGCATGCAGTTTTGTTGGTGTGTGCCCCTCCGATCCCCTCCAGGAAATCCTTAGCTTACTTGTGATGAATTGAAATCGATTATGTATACTGATGCATGCTGCATCCAATCCAACAAATCGATGGGTTTCTCAACAGATTTTAAAACAAACTAGCACGCATGCATGCATCGATATATCTGTCCGGCTAGCAGACGACTCACCTACGGATCGGAGGGAACGAACCCTGATGATGGATGATTATTAGAGATGGACCGACGACGATGAACTGGAGTTATGTACGTTGTTGGAGGATTCTGGAAGAAGCAGCAGCAGCAGAAGCAGCCGCAGCAGCTACGAAGGAAGGAAAGGGAGGAGCAAACGGTCGGGACAGATGAAAGGAAATACTAGAACTGGACTTGTTGCCGTGTCTTTGGCATCAATTAATATCGAATTATCGATTGATTGGTTGGTTAATATAATATAAATAAATTCATCCATCATATATTCCACAAAAGGAGTATATTAATTAGTACCAAGTGATGGTATCGAATTATTGTCCACCTGTATGAGTGTATGTATGTGGAACCCATATATATGCGGGCGATTCTGGATCTAGCTAGTTGGACACAAGGCATGCATGCATGCTGACACGTGTACGGTATACATGATCGATCGCCTTCCTTTGCTGTCTAGCCTAGCCGTCTCCATCAACCATCAGTGATCAGATCAGCTTCTTGCGTCCACAATGTCAATTTGCAAATAGCTAGCTAAATAAAACATAAAAATAATAAAAAATAAACACTGTAGTGGAGAGTTAGGTGAGTTACGAGAGATGTGTTTTTAGAGATTATGCTAGACTAACTATTTGGAAATTGCTAGCTATTTGATTTCTCATATTGATAGTCAATAGAATTTTTTTAAACTAGCTATTTGGGAACCATTGAGGACGCTCTGGTTACTCCACCTCCTGTCTATAATGCAATGCAGCACAGCAAAGTATATGGATCCATTCCGATTCATACAGTACACAGATAATACGAGATGCAGGAAAACGCCATGCCACGTGTGTATGCATGCATGATTAGCTAGCACAGCATCGATCGATCTGCGGCTCGATGATCACTCCCATCTGCAGCACCCACGTGTCCCTGCATCAGCTCAAACCTGAATACGAGACAATTTTTTACCTTTTGTACCTCTTGACAGTGACAACACATCTCTATATACTAATCCTGCTTCCAAAAGCGGGCTCACCATCGTGCCACGTCGCCCGTTAAGCCGCAAGCCGTTCGATCTGACGAACTTGCGATGGTGGCCGTTCGATTGCGGATCGGTTTGGTCTGTACCCGTTTCGTTGTAAACCCGAAACCTCGGGAACCTTCTTGGGCTCATCCGTCGAGCGAGCGGCGGCACGGGCGCCTGCAACCAGTGAGACATCCCGGCGCAGGAGCGGAGGCCCCGGACGCTCTGGTCCCGGCCATCCCGACGCGGGCGGGGGCCCCAGCTGCCCGGAGTGGCGGCTCCGGCCACCCCGGAGCGGGCGGCGGGAGCAGGCACGGCGGCTGCGGCCACCCCGGCTCGTCCAACGGCTCCGACTCCCTTCCCATTGCCGCGGCCGCAGCCTCGTCCCTCACCTCCCGCGGCGTCCAAAATGGCACCCCAGCGACCTCCTCCTCCACTCTCCCTCACCCAGCGTCGGTGAGCCGGCCGTCCGCGTCCAGCTTGCTCCCACCCATCGCCCGCTCCCCTTCTCTGCGCGCGACCGCGAGCGTCCCCACCCGTCGCGCGACTCCCCCGCGGCACCTTCCCCCTGACGCCAACGCCAAGCTCCAGCTCGACGGACTCGACTTCCCTCCGGCGGCGCGACTTCCCCCGGAGGCGCGAGTCCCTCGGGCCCGCATCTAGAGTTCTAGACGGCGACCGCGAGTCCCCGGCCCCGCGAGCACTCCGTTGCGGGCTGCGGCGGCACCTGGCGGCTGGCGAGTGGCGAGTAGCATCGTTGCGGCATCACCTCACCAGGCTCCATGCAGCTGCACGGTCCCGGCAGGTGCAGGCTTCGTGCTCCACCTGACCGGATTCACTGTGCATAGTTTCGAGCTATTGAACGGATGAATCAGATAGGATGATTCAATTGCTGAATTAATTAGCAGATAAACAGCAGGTACTGAAATTGATCCGTTGTTCTGGGTTACTGAATGGACAATGTTCAGAATTTTCAGTTTCATCAAATAAATAGCAGGTCCTGACATAGTTATGAAAGGAAGTGAATGGACGTTATTCAGATTCTGGGGAAAAAATTGGATCTTCAGACCTTTGCTTTGAGATAAGTTTCAGAGAAAAACATTTGCTTGAGAAAATTCAGATTAGAGCACGACAAGCTATTAGAAGCAGTGACTCACTTCCCTACAGAACTGTGTGATGAACCAATACTAAGTCCTTGCCTTGATGAGCCAATTAGGTGGTACCTTTTAGTTCCCTTTTCTGCATCTTCTTACTCTGCGTGATGAGCCATCTTCTTGATTTTTGTGGTTGCACAAGAATCGATTACATGAATTGGCCTGATCATTCAGTTTAGATTGACTTTATTGTTTAGACTTTAGAATAGTGTTTGTGTAGTCTGGCTGAAATAGAAGCTACACCATTAAATACTATTGATTTTTTTTTTGTTTCGTCTATCTGGCCTAAATAAATATTTGAATACATTTGATGCTCATAGTTCTATAAATTGTCCCTCACAATAAATTATGTGATGCAACTCCATAGTCTTGGGAGACTGATATCATTCTGAGCCTATATGGTACACCTGAATGCTATTAAGAATTTGTAATTTCCATCTTACAAGTAGTTATTTCTGACATGGATTATGTGGGCACTTCAGGTTCCTGCTACAGTTCCTTTGTCCTTCAGCCAAGGTAAGTTTTAGCTACAATATAGAAATTAGCACAATGTTCTAATTTATCACTTGAAAAGTCATTTGCTATTTGCTTCTATGTGTCCTCTTCCTGCAGGAATCTTTCTTGGTTTTGTTTCTATGTATAAACTAGGGACTACCTATAGTTATCTGAATAATGTGTTCTGCATTCCTTTTGGAATTAGATGATTATTACAGGTTTGTCTTTTAACATCTAAAATTATTCAGTTACAGATGAACGCAGCGTCACCGGATCATCAAAGAAACAAGGAGTCACCCACCACACCAGTCACCAAAGAGGAAGCAACTCGACATCAAGGCGTGCCAGATCATCGGCAAAACAAGTCACCCACGATGCCGGTCACTGAATAGCAAGCAACCGAGCAACATGGTGTAGGTTCATGCACGCCAGCCTGCTGCACTCTCCCATCTTCATCATAATACTTCTAATGGTGCAACCGCCAAAAAGATAAAGATAGAACCTGTATGCAGTTTCTTCATTCTCCACACTACACACGTGAAATTTGAGTTGCAGTCATATAATCATAAGTTGCACCAGGTACTTTGCTTTAAAATTGCCCTATTTCTTGGTATATAGGAAACTAGAACATTGGTTGTCAAGGATGAAAAGCTGTCTTCTTTGGAACCAATATCAAAATCATCTCTTTCAGAAAGAAGAGAATCCTCACCCATTACAGAGGAGGAAGTCAGGGCAGTACTTCGTGCAATTGAACCCACCACATGCCAAGATCTGGTGTTGAGGTTCAAGGCTCGTCTAATAACTCAAGAGGTACTGTTACAATATAAATAAATATAATTTTGGCCAGAACTTGTTAGCACCAAATATGATCAAACTTCACTGGTAGTGGTACAATTTTGGTCATAAGTAGATAATAAACCAAAATACATATTTTGATGTATAAACTCAGTATAGATTAATCAAGAATGTAAATGTAAACCTCGTATAATCTATAGGTAAATTTAGTGCCAACTGTAACCTTATTTATGATAGACAAAGCAACAGCTCAAAAAATGGCTTTCATTATGCAAAAGTTAGAGCAACTCCAACAGAGTTTGTAAAAATAAATGACTAAACTCATGATTTAACCAACCTCTAAAATAGAAACCCTAGCAAAAAAAACAGAAAACTCCAACAACCTTTTCAATAAGGTGAGCAGAATGGTTAGTGGCACATGCAAGCTATATCTAGCATGCGAGAACTCTGGGATACATGACTTGCTATTTTAGAAAGGCAGATACAATAACTGTTGGAATCTCTTATTTTTTCCAAAATAGTCAAATATAGATTACACAACATGGATACCTCTTCTGTTGGAGTTCCTCTTCTTCGGCTGAACTAACTAACAGCTTCAACAAAGTACCATCGATGTTTCAGGTCACTGCAAAACAAAATTAAAAAAAAAAGCAACTAGCAAAACAAATTAGTACAAGGCTCTGGTACAATAATGCTCCGGTTTGCTTATTATCTCCCCTTGCTATCATGGACAGGCCATGTATGTTGTATGGTCGCTATAGCAGTCCCAGTAACTAGAAATCCAGCAACGCATCAAAGGGATGAACTGGCAATCTTTAAAGTGGGCGTGGCAAAGCCGCGCCGGTCTTTCTAGTGCTCTCTTATTGTGCATCGTTAAATGTACCCATTTCAATGTGCACATCCAACGATGCACACCATGAGAGTATATATCCCCAAAGGCAAATTTTTACTTTGCTTACGAGGGGGTTAAGGTTCAAACTTGGTGGCTTTGCCCTACTGAGGTGGCAACTGGCAACATCCCATCCATGGCTCTACGAGATTATGTGTATGGGCATTTTTAGCTCCAACCTATTTTTCTTATAGAAATTTTGTTAAATATTGAG